ATTTGTAGAGAGAGAGAGAATATGAGTCTGTAAGAGAGAGTGGGGCCTCATCAAACACTTGGAGGTCATCTTTTCTTTTTGTTCTTATATATAGAGTGAGAGTATATGGGTCCAGGTGTGTGTTTGTGTATGTGTGTGTGCGTGCGGCAAAGATGCCTCACACCTAACAGTTGGAGGGAATCTTCTTTTTCCTCATCTTCTTATATGCAGGGAGAGAGCATATGGGTCTGTGAGCTAGAGAAAAGGACCTTGAGGCCTTAGCCTATAAAAGGCCCTTAGCCATTTTTATAGGCCTTAACTAATTTTTAAGTTTTTAAAGGGGACTTGTGCTTTTTTTTTTTTTGGGTGGCACTAGGCACATAGGGGTTTGGGGGGCTAGGTTCCTCCCCTTTTCAATAGGGGAAAAGTACTTCTTTGCCCTTGGCCAAGGGCCTTTTCCTGCCCTTGGCCAAGGGCCTTTTTCTGCCCTTGGCCAAGTTTCACCGAGGTGCTGCCTAGGCTGCCTAGGTGGGCTCCTAGGAGCAAGCCCGCCTAGGATGCCCACCTAGGGCACACCTAGGTGTCTTGACAGCCAAGCCGTAGGCGGTTGACTTTTTAATCAACGTTGTGGATAGCAAGCCATCAAAGGGTCCTCACTCGAGGAAGAACTGGTATGGTCCATGAGTTACTAGCTACCTAGCCAGGCAATGTGGAGCTACCAACACCCTATACAATGACTTAACATAGAGTGTACCTGATGAGATGGGAGACCAGATCACTATACAATGACTTAAAATAGAGTGTATCGGATGAGATGGGAAACGGGATCATGAAGTCTTCTTTATGAGATTGTATGAACACCTTGAGGGCTCCCAAAAGTTTTTGAAAGATGGCAGCCCCAAAGATAATTGATTATTACGTGGTCTTAAGCCTTCTAGGATTTAATATTTATGTAAGATATGGCTCCCAAAAGTATTGAGTTGAAGGAGACTTTGGCAAAATTTAGCCCATATGAGGGTGTTTCCAGGGGCTATCTTGAAGGTGGACAATAATTCGTTGCTCTATCCATTTTCGGATTTATTGAAGATGATATAGAGTAATTTCATCACTATAACTGTCATGTTCCCAATCAAGAGAAGGAAGAAAATTACAAAATTAGTGTTTTTTCTTTCTTTCATCATTACAGAGCACAATAGTAATCTCTTGTTGTTGTAACAAGAAGAAGATGAAAATAAAACAAATAAGCAATCAGACTTTCCTTTCATATTTTTTATTCTCTTTGCTGTTTCATGCTTCCATGCGCATTCATTACAGGGAAAATGTTCCAAATTTCATATGAGTTTGGAATAGTGTACTCAGATCCAACATTCACTATCCATTTTTATTCAAGGATGATGGGTGATGAGTTGGTGCTCATTATTATAACCACTATGTTCTTTTGGCGGGAACAGTTAACTGCCCAAGGATAAGTTGGAGTATTGGATGATTGATGTGGGGTATGCATACCCAAATATTGTACACAGTATACACCTACCAATTATATTATCCAATCCCTTGATTATAATGTAGTCTAGACTTTCTAAGATTTAAGATTCTCTATGATATGAGATTTAATATTGTCTATGATATGAGGTGTAAAAGTATCGCATTGGAGGACATTGGTATCGATGAGCCCATCTGAGGATTTTTCCAGGTGCTATCATTAAGGTGGATAATAGTTTAGAACTGTAACTAGAAAACTAAACTTTCTATATCCTGTACAAAATGTTACTTTATTTAATCACATGGTGGGACCCCTTATTTATATAGGTCGCATGAAGCAACTGGCTGCGATGATGGAACTATTGCTTGCAGCTAATCAATGGACATTTAAGATTGTAAACTGTATTACAATTTGATTATGATATCGATACTTTTTAGTGTATAATTTGAAATAATTTTATGAGTTTTTACCATCCTTATGTATTTTTTTATGTTATTGCAAACTCATTATTGATTCTAATTTCTAAATACTTCTACTAATTGTAAGTAGTAACATGATTGATTTAGTTATCAAACAATGGTTATATGGAAATGTGATTGATTCGCTACTACTATTATAGGTTGTCAAATAGTCCCAAGATTTATATCTCATCAATTGGCACATAAGAAATGCTTCTTTTCAACATAATACAATTGGTCTCTAAAGTCATGGGCTCATGGCTTTCCAAACTGCAGATTTTATTATTGTCTTTCCAAACTGCAGATTTTATTATTGGCTTTCCAAACTGCAGATTTATATCTCATGGCTTTTTTTATTATTGTCTTTTTCCTTCTTTCTATTATTTGGACAGTTAGCAGTTGAGTGGGAAGGGAGTTACGTCAATTTGTGAACTCAACAGCAAATTGATTTTAAGGTTTTCCAACCGGTCTACTAAGCAGTTTTTTTTTTTAAAAAATTATTTATGGATTTTGCATTACACCAATAAATGCAAGCATTGGCTCCTCAAAATAGGATTACATAAATTTGACTTGCCTAAGTCCAAGCTGATTCCTAATCACAAAATTTTGTCATGACACACTTCTACATGCACATGATATCGTAAATTTCTCGGACTGCACCTTTCTCTCTTAATTGAGTTTCTTCTGTTGTCTATTATCCATAGGTTGCGTCTCTGTTTGTCTCTGTTTACTTGTTTTTCTTGCAGTTGCAGGGATGGGATTCATTATTTATGGACTGATATAATACTTCGTTAATCTTAATTTAGCTTTTTGTATATTTTTTTATTCATAGTCTGCTCGTCTTTATTAACTTGTTTTTCCTTCAGGGCTCGGATTCATAACTTCCATTACCTTTATTTTCTTGGTCGGTGTGTTCATGTCATCATGGCTCGGAACATCTGTTCTTGGTCTTGGGGAATGGTTTATAAAGAGGATGCCCCTTGTGCGTCATATATACAATGCTTCCAAACAAATCAGTGCTGCCATCTCACCTGGTAACTCTACTGTAATGATCCAATAGTCCACAGGAAACCATAATTCGTAGGTTCATCTTCGCCATTCTACGAAGTAGACATTGATAAAGAGAGTAGGACTCACGAAAGCAGGACGTGACAAGCCAATAATGTGTCCCATTCTCTCTCTGTCACTGTTTTGTCATGCTGTTAGACAGTGATGGTCCCATGGAATATGATTTTCCACAATAATGACATTATTATGTACTTTCTTGAGTGAAATTTATTTCAGCCGTGGATTATTTTCTCATATACTGAATAGTTATTACTGCAGATCAGAATAGCCAAGCATTCAAGGAAGTGGCTATAATTAGACATCCACGAGTCGGTGAATATGCATTTGGCTTCATTACATCTGCTGTCGTTCTTCAGGTCTAAGCTTATCCATATCTGATAGTTGTTTTGACATTTTAGAGTTCAACTCAGGTTTGGCTGACCTTCTCTGAAGTCTACAAAACAATCCTTTTTTCCCTTGAAAAAATTCTGTTTTTTTTTTCCTGTCATGTAATTTTGAATGAGCTCTTTTCTAAGCTGTCACAATCCTTCTTTCCTGTTTGATAGACATCAACATAATTAACTCCAAATTGTTGGGGCTCAATTGTTGCTTGGTAGTACTAGGTTCATAGATATCATCCTCAATGTGCCATTTGATGGAGAAAAAAAATGAAAATTCCAAGAATAAAAATATATGTTGAAACAATGTCTTTCTTGGTTTGGTAAATCAAGATTAAAGGGTTAATTGTGGTGGTTCTTTCAGTGGGATTGTGTTGATTTTGATGGGTCTCTGGTTTTTTATAAAGTATAACTTATAATACTTGAGAAATAGAAGGGAAATGAAGCATTTTCAAGTTTGTATCAATAAAACACAGTTACGATTACTTGGAAATCGATTTCTCTTGTCAAATTCTATAAACTATTTGAATAGTTGTGTATTTTGGTGCATTCTTAAAGCTCTTTCTCTCTCTCTCTCTCTCTCTCTCTCTCTCTCTCTCTCATTCAGAGTTACTCTGGTGAGGAGGACCTCTGTTGTGTTTATGTCCCAACAAATCACCTCTACATTGGCGACATTTTCCTTATCAACTCAAATGATGTAATCAGACCAAACTTATCTGTTCGAGAAGGAATCGGTAAGCCTTGCTCTTTTACACCAAACTTCTTATACTGATTTCAAAACATTAGTTCATGTGTTTTCTAACAATGGGAAGCTTTTATATGTAACTCCACACATATGTAATTTACGTATGTGACTATGTTTAGACATCTGTCCGGTATTGATTGGATGTTTGGGAATGACCCAACAACAATGTCACAAATTAATACGAACTATTGTTAACATTCTTATTGACTCACTCCTAGCTGTCCAATCAAGTTTGGATAGATGTTGGTTCCTAGACCCATATAACATTATACATGTGTGAGATACATTCTTATGTCAGTGACCTCTAGACACTACACTAAGTGTTGTATTAAAATCCAGCACCCTTGCATCTACTTTGTGCAGAGATTGTGGTTTCGGGTGGAATGTCAATGCCCCAAATACTTTCTACATTGGATTCACAAGCCATCCAAATAGATAGAACTAGGGCTGGCAGAAGTTGATATGGAAGTTAACTTTGGATCTCCAAACCGTTGGGGTTTATGCCTTCATCCCTCGCCTTTTTTCCTTTGCCTGGGCTATCAGACTTCTAGCTGGTGAATGGTATGTTTTTTTGAGACGGCTATGGCAAGTCTTGATGATTTGTAACATGTTTTCTTGTATTTTAGTTCCCTAAGAATTACTTTTTAGGTTAGAGTAAAATGAGGATTGATAGGGTTTAATAGCTTGGTTTGTAAACTTTGGTTTTTTTTTTTGTTTTGGGTGTTATTTCTTAGACACTTGAATGCCTTTCTGGTTCTGTCCTTTGAGCCTGGAGCTCATTTCTTTACAATTTCTTTTTTCTTTTTTGAGGACTTTGTGAGATGTATATATATTAAGAAAGTATATAAAGAGACCATTTACTTTAAATATAAAGAGGTGAGGTCACAATTACTCTTGTCCGACATAAATCAAATTGGGTGACTGTGAGTGTCATTAACAAGATTTAAAGGTCAAAAAAATAAAATCCCAAATTTGGAAGTAAACCTCAAGTCATCAAATATGACATTTAATGGTTAATAGTAATTGTGATCTCTTTATAACATGGAAAATTGTTTGGTGTGTCCAAGCTTGCATGGTTACTATACGGGCTTGGAGATCTATGCTGCCTACCAAAATTGGGTCCTGTAAATAATAATCCTCCACAGAAAAAGTAAAATCAACGGTTCAAATATTTTCTCCAAAACATATCATTACTAGTTTTAAAAAATTATGTATTTTTATAGATTAATAATCTCCATATTAAAGATTATATATTCTTTAAAAATTAGAATCAAATTCTATTTCAAAAATAAATTATTAAGGGGCCTTCATTTCTATCTGCGCGTGGACTCAAAGAAACCGAGTCCTTAGTATAACAAAGATAAATAGTTGGAAAAAATTTATATAGAGCCGAGGTTCTAAACAACCGAAAAACAAATTTTTTTTTTTTTTTTCCTGTTTTTGTTGTTCTTTAGAAAGCTCTTTTGGTAACTACTGTCATGGTTATTGCCATTGCAACTGGCGTGACTCCGTTTGTTAGAACCAAGCTAGAACCTAGAGCATATGAGTTAAATAACGTGAATGCCATTATAATAGGAAAATAATTTATAATAGGGTGTGGTTTGTGTAAGGTTTTAAACTAGAAACATATAGAAATCATGAGAATGGACGGTTTAGTTAATGTTTTACATGATGTACTATTTTTTGCACTGTAAACTTTCTTTTTTTTTTTTCTACATCTGTACATCATAACATTGAGAAAATCAATTAGAAGGTTTTTCACCATCAAAAAAACATTTTTATCATAACATTGAGAAAATCAATTAGAAGGTTTTTCACCATCAAAAAAACATTTTTTGATATATTTGTGACGTGTGCGTTTTTCCTATATTTTAATGTTGCAACTTTGTACAAACTTATTTTCCTTTGTAATATGGGGGCACCTTGAATTCTCGAGAGGATGTGTTCTATGCGAGAAATTTCTTAAATTTAATGTATTCCAAACGATTATGGATTTGAAATAGCAAATTTTGGCCATTTTTTTTTAGCCCAAACAAAAATGAAAAAGATGCATGTATCTATTCTTTTTTGAAGCTTCAGCTCTCAATTACGAGTTTCTCTCTCTCCCTCTAGAAAAGGGTAGCAAAAGAGATGGGTAATAGAGAGATTTGAGGAAAAAACACGAGGAGAGAGGGAGAGAGAAACTTGTTATAGAGAGAGGGGTTTAGAAAGGAATAGACATGTGTATCTTTCAGTTTTTGTTTGGGTGAAAATGGTGCAGTCAAAAGAGATAAAGTTAGTTAATATGCGGAGTTAGAAGATATACTAAGTGAAATCTTTATGCTGTTATAAATGTTTTCAAGCACTAGGTTTGTTTGGAAATTAAACTTTAAAATAGGGTATATGCTGTCAGAAATGTTTTCAAATGCTAAGTCAATTGAGAAATACAATTTCAAATTTCAAAATAGGATGTATAGATATATTACCTTTAAAATATAAAAAAGATTTGAAGTCATAAAAATAGTGTATCTTCTAACTCATTATGTGGACTGTCTAGTTTTCCTTAATGACATTTTCTAATATTTTTTGGAAGTATTACCTTGTTTTCTAACATGGTGATTGGGGACGCTGGCTTGTTAGAGAGTGAGGAGGGGAGTTTCGGGTTGCTATACGCGAGGGTGCAACTTTAAACAATGAAAGTAAGACGCATTTTAAAACACTGCCAAAGATGCAATTAACTGAAAAAATTGAGCGATCTAACCGCTAACTGTCTGGTTATATTGGAATCGGTAATTATTTTGGGCAGTTTTGGTGATCAACAGGTACTTAAAAAGAAAAAATTCAAAACAATATATATAAATTTTCAAAATTAAAGAATTTGATTTGTAATGTATTTTTTAATAAGAAAAATTTTATATCAAATAGAAAGTTTCCAATCTCCTTTGAATCACGCTTCCCATTAAAATATCGTGGTTCCGGTAGCTTCATCTTGTTAGGCCCTACATCATGACCTACAGAACCCAACGCAACAGCTTTGTTTAGGCTCGAGTATCGATTTCATCGAGCTTCTCTGACAGACTAGACAACGAGTCAACTCTTGCGCTCAATTCCTCAATCTGCCCCAATAGCTCATTTATGATGCAACTTTATAATGTAGAACTACAGATGCACCTCAAAAAACCTTCAGAAAAGGTAGTTTTAATGTTGAAAAACTCTTTGATTGATCATCTTGACATCGAGATGTATGACCATTAAAAATAAAAATAT